AACAGAGGTAGAACATCGAAAAAGGAAATCGATGTATTTTTGCACAGAATTTTGTGACATGTTCTTCTATGGGTTTTCTGGAAAACTCTGGTTTTCATCCAGTCACATTACGACCCCTCGAAAAATGGTCCGATCGAGCTCAAAATTTTACCACAGATACTTCAAACCCTATCTCAGGTTCGTTTTTTTTCTTTTCAAAAAATATGCTTTCCTTCTCGAGATATCCCCAAAAAAATCTGTAAAAGGCTGAGTTTTTGTTTTAATTCTGAGTTTTGATTTTTTTTGCGTGACTTTCAGCACTTTTGGGATATCTCGAGAAGGAAAGCATATTTTTTGAAAAGAAAAAAACGAACCTGAGATAGGGTTTGAAGTATCTGTGGTAAAATTTTGAGCTCGATCGGACCATTTTTTCGAGGGGTCGTAATGTGACTGGATGAAAATCAGAGTTTTCCAGAAAACCCATAGAAGAACATATCACAAAATTCTGTGCAAAAATACATCGATTTCCTTTTTTGATGTTCTATCTCTGTTATAAATTTCACTCCGATCCGACATCGGCGTCCCCGATTTCCAAGGGGGTCAAAAAAAGAGGGGGGGGGAGGGTGCCCTTAACGAAAGGAGTTCTAGAAATATATTTTCAAAATCTTCATCGAAAATGGATTTAGAAAATGTTTTTTTCAAAGTTATAACTTGACTCTAAGACGGTGAAAATCGATGGTCTTTCGAACGAGGGAAAAACCTCTCGTTTTCGTTTAAAAATCGTTAACTCATGAACGAAAAGAGACAGAGCCTTTATTTTTTCTCCGTTAGCTTCACCTTATGCTCCTCTAAAAAGTTGTGTATGCATGTCCTCTAATTTTGTTTCACTGTGGAGAAAATTCATTTTTTCTAAATCAGGGCGAAAAACTCGTAATTCTCAATTTTGTCCACAAGAACTCTACTTTTGAACAATAAAAATACCATATTCAGAATCAGAGTCAAAATCTGAATCGACTGATGTGTATCTTTCCGAGTACTTTAATGTTTTTCGAATTTTCACGTTGAAAAATTATCGAGATTTTTATCCAGAACGAAAAATCAACTAAAATTTTCCAAATATACATCAGTCGATTCAGATGTTGAGTCTGATTCTGAATATGGTATTTTTATTGTTCAAAAGTATTAAAATCGAAAAAAGAAAAAGCGCTCGAATTTTAAATTTTCGGAACCCTTATTAAATTAAATAATTAGAATTTTTCTAGTTAGATGTACCTAACGCTGTACGATATTCTTTTAACCATGAATCACAAATATTTCGTATTTTTTTTCTTAAATGTAACAATTCTTTGGTATAAGGTAATTCTTTGAGATTAATATTTCCATCGAGTAATCTTTCAATTTGTATTTGTTTTGTTGTTTGATCAATATTACCACTTTTTCCATCACCATCTTGTGATCCATGTTGTGATGATGCTACTGTATTTGATGATGATTGAATAATTTTATTTGTTGAATTAATTTTCTTTTTTGATATGGATTTTTGAAGATTCATTGATTCATTTAATTTTGTTATTGCTTGTCCAATATTTGATGTATCTTTTTGAATACAACCAAATTGAAATTTATATTCTTCTCTATTACATCCAAATGCAAATCGAATATCATATGGACTTGTATATTCTAATTGCATATAGGAATTAAGTTGTAATTGTACATCATTTTCTGGTGGTAATTCGTCATTTTGATGAGGTGACATATAATCTTGTGATGTTGATAATACCGATTGTGTTCGTGGATAATTTTGATCAGAATGCCATCTCATTTGTCTTTCAGCTAAACCTGTTTTTCCATTACATAAAAGACCTCTATCATCATTCGAAATAAAACGTGCATGAAGACCAGGTTGCATAATAACAACTGAACCTTGAGATGTAATTATGCCTAAAAATTGTTCAAATTGAATATCATTATCGTCATAAAGTAGAGTGCTATATGATGATGGATGATTAGAAACGGGTATACGTTGCATTGCTAAATGACCAGATGGATAACTAAGATAATTTAAGAATAAATAAATAAATGTGATGTTATTTTAGAAGAAAATTTTCTTTTTATCAAAAAGGATACTATAATTGTATTGTTCCATCTGCTAATTCTAGATAATATTTTTTTTTATTTGTTGGAATTTCTATGTCACAACTATAAGGTTCGGGTATTTCATGTCGTAGAATACTTAAAATAAACTTCGATTTTTGACGACCTTAAATAAAATAATACATTCTTATAATTTAACTCAAAGATTTATTTTTTTTTCTATTATAATAACATACGTGCTTGATCATTAAAATTTAAAAGTGTTGATTTTGATCTCAATTGTGGATGATCACCATAAAAAAATATTCGCGGAGCTTGACGAGTTGTAGGATCGCCGGCTGTTGCATGACTAGAAGAAGAAAAAATATATTCATTTTTACAATTAGATATATCGTTTTGTTACTTACATTCGTGCAATTGAATCACTCAATATTTTTCTTCCTTTCTTTCGAATAGCAACAATAGCATCATCCTGACTATCTGTTATTGGTTTTGTTACATCAAATGATATTCCTAAAATACTAAAAAATAATATATGTCAATGATCTAAACATTTTCTTCAATTTATTTACCCTTTGGAGTTTGTGTCGCTATTTCATTGGTAACTTTTGATAATTTAAATTCTACACTTAATGCATCTTTTTTCTGATTATCTAAACTATCTTGACTACCTTGAATTTGTTTTAGTTTTGTTCGTGCTGTTAAATCATCATTACTACTGAAAAACGATATTCTCGATAGAGCACGTTGTGTTCGACTCAGACCAACTTTCAATTGTGACATTCTTGTATGAGATATATTTGATCGCGAACTACCCACCGATTGACGATTATGTAATTGTTTTTTACCACCGATACCTTGTCGTTGTTGTTCTTGACGTTTTCGTTCGACATATTTACGCCATTGATCTTCAGCATACTTTGTTCGCCAAGTCTACAAGAAAATCATAAGAAAATTAAATTCGTGGTATTATAATTTAATAAGACCATCTCTCATCGAAAGGTTCTGTTCTGCGGTAAAAGGAATGGTTTTATCAAAATAATTGACTTTGACTGCATCAGGGTTTTTTTCTGATACATATATAATATTAATGAAGGAATATAAATAAATATACGGAAAACCGAGAAATTTTAACTGCATTCCTCCCGTCACTTGTGCATAGACACTACATATATGACGTACGGCACACATCATCTGATCAAACGGGTGTCTTGCTGAGATCCGTTTTGTCCTCTACATGCCTTACTGTAGGCACAAAAATAGCTTTAAACGTCTCTCTCCTTTGTAATCAGCATAGAAAAGAAGTGAAATTTTGCTTAAAACTATATTGGATAAAAAAATCGCCCTTTGGATCGTTGTCAAGAGAAATTGATGCAGGATGGAGCGAACTTGTCATTAATATTATTTTAATGCAACAGCTTCAGCAAAGACATGTATACTCTCTAAAAAAAGGGGAGCCGGGTGGAATGTTTTAGTATTTCAGAAATGGGTACCATTTTATGAACCTCTTAAAGGTTCAACACACAAAATACGGTTCTGTCTCGCACCTTTTTTTGTCTGGAACCTTTTTCTGAAAAAACAGGTGCGAGAAAGAACCATATTGTGTGTATTGAACCTTTAAAAGGTTCATAAAATGGTACCTCATTCTGGAGCCCTAAAAGGTTCTGCCCAGCACTGGAGTCCTGCGGGTCTGACATTTTTTATTCCGAATCCGAACTCGTCCCGTAGACTTAAAACCCATCTCGAATCCGAACGCGCACAACTTTTTTCGGGATCCTGGTTTTTCCAAACTAAAATCCGCCCCAAATCCGCTCAATCTGAAAAGTTCTTTTAACGAAGTCCCCTCTTTTATTTTTTGAATTAGTAAATCTCCACACGGAAAGGTTCTGCTTCTTTCACAGCCATGAAGGAGAAACATAATCAAAGTGATGGTAGTTTTAATGACAATGAAAATTAAAAGACTTCAGGAAATAGTTTTTTCTATTGCTATTTTTGTGATAAACGTTTAGCAGGCTCAGAAACACTATCTCCTTGTTATTTTCATCTTTTGAATAAGAAAAATAATGAAACCTTTGAAGAAGAAACCGGATCCCGATCCCATTCCGATGAACTGCAACCCGTCTTGAACCCGAACTCGCAGGATCGGGTTCGGAATCGGGACCGAGTTGGGTTTAACAGGATCCTACCCGGCATCTTTTTCTTCAGAGAGTAGATGTGTTTTTGATGCTAATCACAAATTTAATATTTATTTTAAAAATTTAGTTTAATAATAGCAAAATTCTGCTGTTCGTATATTCACCAAAGCTTATCAAGCGATGTCTTTCGATAACTTTTCAATGAATTTTACGTATCAATTAAGGCTAAGTTCGATAAGTTTTATTTTTATTTGTATTAAGAAAGTGTTTTTCCTAAGAATTTTCCCAGATTATTTGACAATAACATTTAATACGTGTTTTGAAAGTATTTTCAATTGTATATCGATTGATGTATAATGTATTAGAAAAGTGTCTCTTCTTTACTGTAAAACTAACTGATAACAATATGATGATGATAATGAAAAAATCGAATTTCTTATGGTTCTTCCTATTTGAGTAATAGTTTTAAAACAAAAAAAGAATACATATAGTCAATATGATCAAGTTCTTTCATACAAGAAATGTTGCTCACAGAAATCTTATACATCAGGATGATATATATACACGGAGTTTTGCGCACGAAGAAATGATAATTCCCGTAGCAGAAATTTTTGAGAATAAATTTGAAAACGCGTTTGACTAAATGTTGATATTTCTTCTTTTTATGTCATGATAAAGAATTAATGTTTTTGTGGACAGACTATTTATGAGTGTTTTGTGTTTACAAATTATTTTGATCAATAGTTTTCTTTTATATGATCATTTTGATCCTTTTTCCTTGATTACATTATTTGCTGATCAAAATATAACTTCTGATCTATTAATTAGTTTATTTACGATAATTAATTATGCTCTGATAGTAGTCGAACAACGCAAAAAAAAGAAATATCAACATTTAGACAAACGCCTATTAAATTTAATTTTAAATCCACATACAAATATAATTCATCAAATTAATAATAATCTGGCTCATATTTTAATAAACATTTTCAAAAATTCCTCCCATGGGAATTATCATTTTTCCGTGTGTCATCTTGGTGCATAAAAGCAAAATTTCTCATACGCAAGTTTCCGTACAACGTCACATAGTTCGTGCGCATCGTTACGAAACGCTCATACTTGATTACTAATCACATTTTAAGATTGGCAAAGATTCAGGTACACAATTGAAAAATCGACACAGGTGAAAGCATCATTGAGAAACCAAATAGTTACAAATCAAATAATATATCTTACCTTGAATTTATAGTCAGCGTCTTCTGTTAAATCATTCCAATTCGCATGTAACATCATAATCACTTGACCGGGTAATGACTGTCTCTCCTGCAATTGTTCCTCTTCCTCATTGTCTGCTTCAGCATAAATTTTATTTTCATCTTCGATTCTCTGAATAATATCTTCTAATTCTGAAATAAGTACATCGGGAACAATCGTTGTATTTGTCTTGTGAAATAACTCTCGTTGAATTTGCGTAAGAATATTGGATGTACTACTACTTTTTAATTTTTCCTCTGTTTCTCCTGCAGTAACACTCGTAGCCGAGGTGGGTATTTGCGTTTCATCAATTAATTTTGCTTCTTGTAATGCTCGCTGTAATTCATCTGGATGACGTTTATAACGGCGAGTACTGCGATAATGTGGAGAATTTTGATCAAAAAAATAGGCTCCTCTACTCATTCGACATCTATATTCACAAAGATGGGAAGAAAAAAAAGAGATGACGATTAATCTAAAAGAGTAGAAAAAAAGTTTTACCTTATTAATTGTGTCAATGAACTAGCAACAGCTGCTTCATGTAAAGCAGTAAAATACAAATCAACTGTTTCGAATTTTCGCATCTTTTTAATATTTCTTATCTTTTTTTGCACGTTTGAACATGAAAAAATGTTACGTTTTTAACCTCAACAAGGTAAATCATTAACTTTCTTTTACAAGTCCAGAAATACGCAATTTTGTTATGATTTTGCATAAAGACAATTAAAAATTTTAAGGCTTCCTCTTTTGAATTAAAAAAGAAAAAAATCAAAAATCTATTTCAAAAATAAATTATACACCTACTCTTATAAAGTACCAACTAATATAAAGGATGATTACATATTATATTGAACTTTTCATTCGTGATAGTAACTGAGCGTTGTTTTATTTACTTATTGCTCATTCGCCGATAGAAACAATATAAAATCAATATTTCACTCGACATCATTCCATTTTTATCACTGAATAGAAACATTATCCATCCTCCATCTCAAACACATCAGTATTACTGCACGTAAGTCTCTGACAATCAGTTTTTTCGATATGATTGGTATTTTTTACTACTAAAACTGCACGTTTAAATGGGGCATACCAAAGGTACAGTTCCAAAGGTACGTTTAAATGGGGCATACCAAAAGTACAGGCAGTAACACTTTAATACTTTATATTAAGCTTCAAGGAATTTTCTTTCTATGCAGTCTGATAGAGAAAAGAATGCTCTATTTTTCTATGCTATTTGATCATACTTCAACTAATTTCATAATAATAAAATTTTGATAAGATCTGTTTTGTTCGCATGTGTCATGGTTCCATGAATGCTAGTGAGTATTTTTTGAATAACTTTTGATAAAAACAAGATAGAGAGCTGCGGTGTTCACCGTTGGAAAGAGGAAATGAAGATGCGTCGAATCATATATTATAGGCTTTTCTAATATTGATTTCTGACGTATTTTTGTTCAATTTTCTAAGTGTCGGAAAAATGATTCTTTTTATGAAAAAAGGAAAAAGCACAAAAGTGAGCTTTTTTCACAGATTTTGCTAGGAAATTCTATTAGAAACTCGACTAAAATGCATATTATTCATCTCAACCTTCCACACTTTGTAGATCTTCGATTAGTGGGTTGAATTTACACTTGATAATTGAAAATTCACTGTAAACAACTTATCAAATATGTTTGTTCTTAAAAAGACCAATTGAAAACCTTACAAGAAACAGATCAAGAAAACCTATAATATATGATTCGATGCGTCTTCATATCCTCTTTCCAACGGTGAAAACCGTAGCTCTCTATCTTGCTTCTGCCAAAAGTTATTCAAAAAATACTCATTCGTATTTTTTCAAAATTAGTATGAATACAATCGGCACATAACCAGCCAAAATAGGTTTTAAAGATAATTTAATATTATGATATTAGTTGAAGTACGATCAAATAGCATAGAAAGACAGAGCTTTTTTTTCTCTATCAGATTATATAGACGAAAGTTACTTTAAGCCTACTATACGGTATTAAAGTGTCACTGCCCGTATTTTTGGTATGCCCTAAGTATGTTATTATAATATACTGCCTGATTTTCTAATCTATCATCTCAGTTTGTATTTTCATAAATCGATACAACGGTCAATAATCTAACATATAATTGAACGGTTGTTGTGCAGTTTTTGTGAACATTTCTGTTTGTTTGTGCTGTATCTCAGAGTTTATATCATCTCGTATATTTTGATAATGTTTAATTCCTAGAATTTCTTTTCCCATTTGATTTGCTTGAGTGACCAATTCGGCACCTTCAATCGCTTGTTTTTCAATTTTAGATATCATTTGATTATGTTTATCAACTTCTTTACTCATCATCGATGTCATATCATATAAATGATCTAAATAATATTCAGCAAAAATCTAGGCTTTCACAAAATATTTCAGCATCTATGATGTCTAAGTCACTCAGTATACTGTTTTAGGGTCTTCTGTTTAGAATATAAACCGATCAAACATTATAAAGCTAAAATAAACTTCTTTGCTTAGCGCTGAATATTTTAACATTTATCGTTATTTTATACTATACAGTATTTTTTAAAATTCAATTCAAAGCAATGAAAAATAATCCGATAAGCCTAGTTAAAATACATACCCAGGTGTGTATTAATTTGATAAAAATTTGTTGCTAGATTGACTTCTTGTACGAGATTTTCTCCTTCATATTTTTGAAATGGATTTTCGATACTTTGGTGTTGAATCAGATGATTTCGAATGATTTGGAGTTTACGTTGATTGGCATTTGTTTCATCTTTATTTAGTTTAATAATTTGTTGAATTTTATGTAGATATTTCTGATTATCTTTCTTTTGTTTCGTTTCAGCCTTCAATGCGGTCAATCGAAAGTATCCTTCATAGTACTGTTTTTCTTGTTGAATGTTGTAGATGAGAGGTTGAACTAATTTGGCCACTTCTGGTGGAATGTGACGTTTTTTCTTCAGTTTTTTGCTGCTAAAGACGAAATATATAAAGTTGCTAGATCTTTGAGCTGTATGCTTTAACAACGCCATGTCTCAAATTTCATTCGATTTTTGGAATAATAATAGTGCTTCCAGCATTCATTCAAATAGAATCGTTTCTTACTTTTTTCCAAAACATGAACATTTGAGACATTGTTTGGTTGAATTTCCATTGATTCGATTTAAATTTTCCATTATTTCATTCATCTCATGTTGGAGAGTGTTGATAAGCCCGTTTCCTATTTGCATTTTCTCACCTTGCAACGTCAGTAGCATGAACATTTCTTTCGCCACGAGTTCCGTTGTTTGCAATTGACTAACCATAGCAGTTGTTGCTTGAACATCTTCCTCGGTTAGATGCTCACGACGAGAGCGCAGAATCGAATCACGAAGACGTTCTAGTGTTGAAAGAATACCCGTAGCACGTGGCACAGAAGAATTGCTTAGGCTAGCCGAACGAGTAGAAGGAATATTCGAATGCTTCATGTTTGAGTAGAAAATAGACACATACACAAAACAAATAAATCTACTCACTTCGGTAAAGTGAGCAGATAAAGGCACATACCAGAATTAAAAGTTTAGTTGCATTTACTTCGATAATAGTTACAACTAATAAATGGTTCCCGCGTTAATATTGAAAAAAAGCTTTTTTTTCACAAAAAAGGATTGCATAAACAACACACGTACAGGGTGTCCCGTAAGTTGTACCAGATTTATTTTCATTTTCAAATTTTTGATGATAATGAATACAAATCAAACTCAAACTTACACATATCATACAACTTAACTTGTACATTTTATTTGCATTAAATCATCGTATATACAAAAAAATGCATGTATTCATTATCATAAACAATTAGATCTGATGCAAATTATGGGACACCCTGTATCTTCTGCAAGCAAAAAAGTATTGATGCCACATAGTTGAAAAGCCCATTCATTTTGGAGATCTTTTCTCTCTACCAACATGAACTTTGGCGAAGTTATGGTTCTTTCATGCCACAATTGAGAGAACAAGAATGATAAGTCGTATTACAGAAATCACTTAAGTCTAAATCAATAATTAGGTGTAGCTCAACTTCAGTTCATAGAATAAGCGCTCATGACAAAATTTCTTAAGTCAAAACTACTTCTGAATAGCCGCCAGTCTTACTTGATCCACGCACCGGATTGTTTAGTACGCACTTGAAAAAAATGGGCAAGAATTTTCAGAATTACTCTGTTTCCATGAAATTTTACAAGTACTTTTCAAGATTGCAATACCTGATTTTATTACTATGAGTACTTTGTGACAGCATTTGCAGTTTTACTTCACAAGTATTTATCAAGTGAGGTAAATATTCACAAATAAATTTGCATTTTTATCCAAGTTTTGCTGCTGTCACAAATAAGTTGTCGAAGTGGGTTGATTAAGACTGTTTGCGATACACTTTTGCTTAACTTCAGTATGTCTTAAACTAAGATTAACATAAGTGACTAGCTTAGGATTGTTCATGACAGGGTCTTTGTCAGCTTAAAAGACATGTAATGAAGAAAACAATTAGTTTATCTACAGACTAGGGTCTCTAACTAAAGATTGTTTCCTCACGATATTTGTTAAGTCTTTCTTTTCGCCATGACAAATGATTATTACCATGACTTGCACAAGTCTAACTGCCGTACTCAGATAATCTGAAATGATTATCAATAAAATGGCTTTTCCACAAGAAATATGACGGCATTTATAATGTGAAAGAGTTGTATAACTAGGTGTGAGCTAATCACTTATACATGTGTTTTTTGTTCGTTCTTCGGCGACATCTATAACCACAGCGCACCAGGAAGAATTCCATCACACAAGATCGCAGGGCTTATTACACAGTTGAAAAGTGATCACAACAAATAAACCAATTAGATGCCATCAGCAATTGTAGTCGATTTATCCGCTATTGTTTATGATATTGGTAAAATTAAAAGTGTGAACAATCAACAAAGCTGCGACACCTAGCACTTGTTTGTATATATGACCTACGGAATTTAAAATCAATAATTCAATCTGCTGAAATTATATTCTGAAATCTGACGAAAGATGCTATTTCATACCACTTCGAAAACTTGAATTGATATTTTCGTGTGACTCGTACTGGATTACAATATGAAATTGCATACATTCACAGGAGCGCACAAGCAAAGTCTATATATTTTTTTATGTATAAATTTTACAAAATTTTTTTGCGAGCAATGAAAGTATACGGTAATTTGTTCTTCCTACAACATAAGAATGCAGATTATTGTGCAGGGAATAAAACTGATTGATAAGGTTCACTTTCTAGACAAACAGCTGTTGTCAAGTAAAGCTTGGGATTGACAACATGCATGATTGAAAGAACTAATTTTCAGAGGGTAAGCTACAGCTTTGCTGGTACGACTGTTTAAATTATAATACACATATCATATTAATGAAGGAATATAAGGAAATATACGAAAAACCGAGAAATTTTAACCGCATTCCTCCCATCACTTGCGCATGGACGCTACACACATGATCTGCGGCATACCTCATCAGGCATGAGAAATAGTCGTTACAATAGTAACTACAGTCAGTTCCAGACTAGAGACAGATAATTATGCAAAGGGTGCCGATTCAATTTGGAATACATGTGAATCCTGCGGTGAAAACCAAACAATAAGTGTTGGGAAGACATTTAAAAAAAACGAGAAACTTTCCGCTAGTTGGAAGAAATACTGTCAAATTTTTGTCTTAGCTAATACGTAGCCAAGGAACCTTTGCATTTTGCCTTCTGTAACTAAGTCTTCACTACATATGTTTTTCGACACCAAGTCACCCTAGAGAACGTACTTAGTACTTGTGCCCAAGTACTGCATTTGCGTAATGAAACAGGTACTTGTCTTTTTACCAAAAGTAAATTTACTTGTAAGTCATTGTCCAGCGTGCAAGTACTTGATTTTTCACTTGACGAGCACTTCTTCAAGCGCTTGTCAGGTTAAATTGCAAGTACTTGAATTGTTTTCAAGGTAATATTAATCGAGTGTTTCTCTATTGTCACTTAATATTTGATTCACTTTATGAACTTATATTATTCTATGTCAGAAATCCACAAAGCAAACACGTTTTCCTAAGCATAGGTATAGTATTCATGTAGATAAATAGTGGCGAGCGGTCCCAACCTGTCGTATCCAAGCAACTGCTGATTTTAACCCTTTAGGGTAAAAAAAGTGTTTATAAGTAGTAAATAAGCAAAACTGACATCTAAGACAAAAATTTCTACCGTTGACGTCATCTTTTTTTCTTATATACACACGCTGTAGACAAGTTTTCTTATTATTTCAGATGAGACGAAAAAGCAGTGTCTGTTTGTTTTAACAAGGCACTTATTTCTGAAAGTGGGGTGAAGACCATTTTTATATTCGAACCTTTTGCAGTTTATATCTACTTTTTAACTTTTCTAAAGCAGAACTAAAGTACTATGTTCCCGAAGGGAAAACCGGGTAAAACATGGTGAAATCAGTATGTCAATTATCTTAAGAAACACTTTATTTTGAGAGATCTCGTATCAAAAGTTTTTCTTGGTCACTCTTTCTTCATATAGAAATTGCTACATAAGAGTTCACCGACGTTAAGATAAATTGTTTGTTGGATTTCGAAATATAAAGTGTTCGATTAACTCTTTAAAAATTTTGATTTCTTGATTGTTTGCTCAAACTGGAAAATCCAAAAAACCCTTCTCGTTTTTAACAAAGCTAGAAAACTTTTCGACTCTTTCTAAAAAACATTTTTTAGTTTTTGGTCAAAAAGAAAAATACTTTTGGTTTTTAACTACGCTTTTTCCGTTTAGGGTGATGAAAAAGCCCTTACTTGTCAAGGACTTTCACAAAGTACTTCTTAATAATAAAAGTAACTATTTTTATCATTAAGAAGTACTTCTGAAAGTACATGGCAAGTGAGAAATTTTGAAAACACTTGCCAATTTTTAAAGTACTTAGCAAGTAATCAGGTTCTTGCATCAAGTACGTTCTCTAGGGCAAATATTTCACGCATTTTTAGAAAAAATATACGTCGTGTACTTTTTTCATGAATTGTCTTACATTTTTGCATCAAAAACAACGTCTAAACATATCTATGTTTCATTGAAATTGGGTTTAATTACTGACTGTTAAACTACGGTAAACTGCTTCCACTGGATGTCTGCACCGGTTATATATACTTAGAACTAGGAAAGAAAATTTTGTTCCACTGTTTAATTATCATAATGGAAAAAAACAGTTAAGGCTAAAATTTTATCGTTATTTTCAAATCGAGTGCGGTTAGATAGTGCCAGAGTTTCTACCAAGTGTAAGGCGAAGTGTTTTATGTTTTCCTGAAAGGATAAACAAAAATACAACGACTGGCTATGGTAGATCGTCATTGTAGATATAATATTTGGACGATAAATCTCAGTTTATCCTGAAATTGTTGAGCAATCATTTGTAATAATGAGTGCCCTTCCAGTAAAGGTTCGGAGATGAGTGTTACTATGTGGAAGCGTAAAATTTCTCTGAGAGACATCGAATAAATTATCTCTGCTCTCTTATTAGTTGATATATCTCTCAGTGTAAAACTCAAAATGAACCTCTGACTCAAAAAAGTTTTTAACGCTTATCTTTTACGTCACTTTCAAACTCATATCTATAAACAAAAAAGCCGATTTTTAACGGGGTGGAAACACACTTTTTATTTTTACGTTAGATGGCGTTTGAGTTGTTACTCAACTAAATGCGAATACAAATAAAAATTTCTTAATAATTAATTCTTTATACATCTTTCGTTCTCAATTGATATTAGTTTTATTCTTTTAAAATGACCTTGTTCTATAATCGTCCCTAATGGTAGTTCAAGAAAGAAATCCATCGGTGTTTTTTTTCTTCGCTGCTGATGAAAAATTTTTATTTATATAATTTATTTTTTTCTCTTGATTGATTACTATTACCTTTGTAGAATAAAAATAATAAAGCGTAGTGAGCTACCATACACTTCACACCGCCTCAGGTGTCAACTACACTTTTTCGGATATGGTTGATTGTTTTTTCTCTTTTTTATCCGTTATCTTTCATTGTCATCTCTAATCTATAATCGCCGTGTGTGAAAAATTAAAGAAGGACTGTCTGCCAATTGAAAAAACAAATAAACAATGTTAAAACAGACAGCAAGAAAAAGAAAATGATTTTGACTGGTTAATTAGCTCAAAAAACAACAATAAGAATGTTGAGTTCAAGTACCGGTGTACCCGATGATGCATCGCGACAAATGTCAGCCATCAATAAACGAAAAGAACAATTGAAACGTTGGGAAGAATCAGACACCAACCGTGAATCGTATACACCAAAAATATCACAGAGAGTTAAATTTCAACAAGCCTATGTATTTTTGGCAGCTTGTTCTAGTTCGGATAAAGATGAAGTTGAAAAATTAATACAACGAGGCGTTGATATTAATACGTCGAATGTTGATGGATTAACGGCATTACATCAAGTAAATTTTATTAATTTTTTTTGTTCATTTTCTCAGTCGATACTTCATGTAAAGATGTTTGTATTGTGCACTGATAGTCTGAGAGATTAACGTTTCTCACTAGAATTCTGAATAATATTTTGTAGATGAATATCAAGAGTTAGTTAGATGATGTGTGAACTTCTATGTTGAGTGAGTGAATTGCGTACAAGGCACAATATTTTGCTTTAGTTAATTGTAGGAGAAGCATTAGTTATTCTAGAAAAAGAGATTTTGCTAATTTCTCAGTGTTCTCAGGTGTGAATCATAAACAGCAATTCTTGATGATATTGCCCTAACGAGTATTCTGAAAAAGATTTATTTATGATTTTACCGCAAAGTCCATCTTGTGTCTGCAATGGAAATAAACTTTTATAGATTACATTGCGTTTATTTTTATTATCTCTTTTTCAGGCTTGTATTGATAATAACCAACTGATGGTTGAATATTTATTATCTCGTGGTGCTGATATTAATTGTCAAGATAATGAAGGTTGGACATCGTTACACGCAGCTGCTTCATGTGGAAATATTGAAATTGTCAAGTAAGCGTATTTGACATCAGAGTGTATAAATGTGAATATGCGAAAGTTGTTTTTTGACGTAATATTGATCTTTTATTTTGAACAGTACTTTGTGTCTCTAAAAAACTTTCTTTTGAGATGCATTTTGTCATATTAATGTTATTGGGTTGAAAAAGTTACTTCCATAGAACATTTATTAACATCAGTTTGAGCTGTATAACAATAAATTTGTTCTCTCTTGTTGTTATAGAGCTATGATACACACTTTTCCTATTGCTCTTCACTGTTTAAGTGCTGCTGTATTAACTGAGTGAATTTTGTATCGAATACTTCCTCTGATCTCCTTCCCGATATTCAGCGTATTATATCCGATTAGTGAGAGTATCTGCAATTGAATATTTATTGCGCATAAAATTGTATTCTGATCGATCAATTACCTATGTTTTTACTTTTTGTTTAGATATCTATTATCTCATGGTGTTATTGTCGATATATGTAATAATGAGGGTGAATTAGCTGTCGATGTAGCAGAAGGGGATGAAATTGCTCAATTATTGGAGGAAGATATGAAACGCAAAGGTAAAGATTAAATATTCCTCGACTTGACATACATTTTACTTTTCTTTTTTTAGGAATTGATGAAGAAGCTGCCCGTCATATTGAACATCGTACGATGTTAAAACATGCCCAAGACTGGCTCAATCGTACTCCAAATTTTCGTCCAGAACAAATTATTCATCAACGAACAGGAGCGACAGCGCTACATGTGGCTTGTGCCAAAGGATATTTAGATGTCATGGAGTATGTATGATACTCATCTCTCTTCTTGATTCTAAGTTGAATTATTTTTTTATCATTTATAGTATTTTGTTAAAAGCTGGCGCTAATATAAACGCAATGGATAATGATGGTTGGACACCACTTCATGCAGCTGCACATTGGGATAAACATGATGCTATCAAGTTTTTGATTGATAGAAATTGTGATCTTGAAGCAAAAAATTATGCCGTAAGTTGTTTAAACATTTTAATTGCTGTTGTTGATTTAAATCAGTTTAAAAATGTATTATTTGGTTATTTAGGGACAAACTGCCATGGATGTTTGTGATGGTGCTACTCATGAACTTCTTAAAGAATTGAAAGAACAAAAAATACCTCAACCACCACCGCCTACACCTATGACGAGAGCAGTAAGCTTTTTTTGAATCTTTGAAGTGCGAAGATAGTGAGATCAATTGATTTTTCTTTCGTTTTAGTCTATAATCGACGCAAAAGACCTATCTCCATTTCCCGATAATGTATTTAATCCATGGAAACGAAAGTAAGTTGTTTGATACTGTGATTTTGTGTACTGTTCTCATTTTCTACTTCGCAAGTCAATTTTTTAGATCATACTGCTCACAATAATTTCATTATTATTTCTTCGATATGACTTAATTTATGCTTTATGTTTCAGACCTGGCGCAACTAGTCAACGTGCTCCATTAACGGATGTTGAGCAAAAACCAATTCAACAACAACAATCTCAAAATTCTCGTTATGGAGCACCGAAAGATCAAACACCAACGTCGACCAGATCAGAAACATTCGATGAAAATTTTGGTAAATTAAAAGATCACATTTAATCAAAAGTCCTGTACCATTTTGAACTTATTTCTGTCTATCTGTAGAACCAAGTACAACTGCAGCTAAGCAAACAATATCATCTTCGATTAGTTCACAAAAAAACGAGCAACTACCATCATCACAGCAGCAGCAGCTCGCCCCCCAAGTAATGAGCTGATATATTAACTATTTAGAATATTTATTACTGTTTGTTTATGTGTACGTGCGACTGTATGCATGGTGTTTATGATTGCCCGTTTTAACGCTTTAGTTCTTTTTTCTATCTACGAAGTATAGTTAATCAAGCTTTTAGCTTTCTTTTCTGACTAATGCTATAAAGTACTGAATAAGTTTTGTTTTACAACCGCCTCTTTCGTTACAGAAGGGCTCAAGGCTTGGAAACTTGAATTGGTCCTTAAGACTGCCTTTCTCTCTCAACACAGTTGAGAATATATGCGCCCGATGGTACCAAAACTATTTGATGTTCAGAGGCGATCACCTATTCTCTTACTAATCGTCGTTCTGATGCTTAACTAGAGAAAAGATAAATTCATTGGCACAACTCTCTATAAGTCATGCGAGTTTACTGCAGTTAAAGAAAGAAAATAATTTTGATGTTTAAAGGATCAGTTCGAGTTTCCAAGGCTTGAGCTTTTCTGCAACAAAAAAGTGGTTGTAAAACAAAATTTATTTAGTACAAACAAGTCGAGTTTAAATATCAAAATGTCTCAAAGACCTTTTATTTACTAAATTCCTTATTTTTATACTTAAGGATAAAAAATAATTGTCTTTCTGTGTAATTGTGATATTTTTATCTTTGTCATACGCTTGTGTGTGTTCTATTTATTATTCTTATTCATTAATTTAGAATGCTTTAGATGCTCTTGTCAATCTTAGTCCTAATTTAACACCTCCACAGCAACAACCTCAAATCATTACTACCGAACCAGTACTGACATCGCCTGGCATTAAGGTAATATTCTCCTCCTGTTTTGCCGTCGATTTGGTTATAGTGCTTGCCTTTGAGTGTGTTGAATATTGTAGAATCAATTGATTAGTTATTTATTTTTGGATATATAAAATATTATTTTCATCTATTTTCAGGAGAAATTGAGTAATCTTCAACGATCGTTACATGATCTTAGTAATCGTTATTTAAAAACAAATCATGATGAGGTAGGTAATCAGAATGACAGATACATAATGTTGTGAATGATTGTTAATGAATGAATGTACGAGCTTTACATAAAACATATTTAAACGCTGTGCTGAGCGAACGATGCCAATGAGTGTAAGAACGCTAAACCACTCTGGTAGTAGACTAGACTTCGTAAAGAAAATCTACTGCCTAGGTGGGTGTTTGCACAAAAATTAGTTTTAGTAAAGCTAAATTTTTGACTTCAAATAAAGAATGATCTTTTTTCATTTCATTTTCATTCTCAAGCATGTTTAGCAAAATAAGATAAATAAATGGCTAACTATTTCTTATATTATCTCAGGGAAATTACGGCTTACCTTCACTTGTGAAAAAAACATAAATGAGACACTGTTTAGTTCGCTCGGCATATCGACTGTTTTGTATTATTGTGTATTTGTGCCTGTACTAATATCAGTCACGAGCTTTGCTTGTGTTTTGTGTTCTTGTGTGTGGCTATTTTCAATTATTAATTACAGTCTGCAGTATCTCCGTTATTGTCACCTCCTGTCCAAGTCGCCGCAATAAATATTACAAGTACAGTTCCAACGATCTTAACAACAACAACAACATCAACGAGCACATCAAATAGATTAAACAATCAACAAAAACCACTAACAAATTCTTTGTCTACACCTACGTACACGGAACGAACAAAGCGGGCGCATGAACAATTAGTCGCCACTTTATCCACCCAACCAAGCACAACAACACCATTACCTCGTCCAGGTTACCTAGCGACAAACAAGTATTCAACGACGACTAGTAATGTAAAGATATCGACCACCTTGTCAGAGACTCCCACTACCACAACAGAAACTCCTACGTCTGATAGTCTACCTTGGACACCTACCACCACCGCGTCGTATCACCAACGTCCATATACAAATCCACTACAGTCACTCACAACAACTACTACTACCTCACCAATCGTAGAAAATCCTCGTGTAAGAAACAATTTATGATTAATTTATAGAGCTGATCATGCCGAGTAGAGCACGAGTTAGTTATTATGTTGTAGTTTGTGTTGTGCAGTGTGCACGCTTATTTAGTAACCTACTAACCTAGCTTTAGAGTAAAGCATGCTAATAAGAATGTCCTATGGTACATTTTGCTACTTTATGTAAGAATAAAACACATTCTCGCTTTTGAAAGATATTTTTCAAATGTCAGAACAATAAAAGTTAGCTTCCGTACGCTACTACCAGACCAAATCACTTAGATGGTCTACATTGCCAATAATCAATAAAAATCACTTACTTGACATATAGTAGATAGACTTCTATTTTCAACTATTCACTTCATCACCTAATCAAACTTCTGTAAACGTCTTATTTTTTCCACCCAGCATGTGTTCGTTATTATTGTTTTTAGGCATTTAACGTTGCTCAGAGACTGCACTATTATGAGCCACTAATTTTATCGCCAACATCGGTATCACTATCCACATCTTCATCATTTAACTCAAAAATCACTTCCATGCTTGAAGAGACAAACACCAATAATAATAATAATAATAATAATAATTTCAAGTTAAAAGTACCCGTATTTAGAAGGTATCTCAAGGAGCAGGAAATATTCATTTTATTAACTCCATTTTTTTTATATAACTTCGTATAAATAATGCGTATTTTTTTCTTTCTACTTTTTTTAGGATACACAAGTTGAAAAGGGAAAAAGGTAACTACTTTCGTGCATATTTTAATCACATGTGTGGAATGTGGGTGTATTTGTTAATCAATGACCTGCGTGTGCGGTGTTCTGCTGCCTAGTCTATCTAATATTTATATATTTTTGGTTCTGAACAAGCACAAACACTTATTCAATAAATATTATTTCACCTAATGCTGTGCGCTTTAGTTGCTCTCTTCTTTAGAAACAGAACATCAAGTCGTCCTTTTGTCAAAAATTAACGAAATTTCGTCCAGTTTATTGTATTTCCGCTGTTATTAATCTAAGCAAATGTAATATACACAGGATTCCTGATTAGATTTGAGAGTGAGAAGTGCTATTGTTTAGCAGAAAGCAAGTCTGGAAATACGGACAGAAAGTCAGATTTTTTTCTCACCAGCAAGCCTTCACAAACTCTTCACTGAAACATAAGAAGATTTTTTCCACAGAACTCATCAAATTTGAGATGAGAAAGCATCCATCTCCTCCCTAATCAGAAAACCTAAACATGCATAATTCCAGCTTCAACCTTAATTATAAATAACGCCTGCAAATTACAAATAACTTTAAATGAACTTATGCTATGTTGCTGCTGCTGCTGATAACTCATAGATGACTTGCTGGTCAATACAGAAATTCAGAATAATAAAACTTTATTAAACATTCCTTGTTTTGTTTGATGAGAGTCTCAAGTTCTAGCGGTTGTGTATTCTAACACTTGTTTTTAGTTTTACTGTGTGCACTGTTTCATGCATGAGAAGGATGTAATTCCTTTTTGTATCTCTTAGTCATCTGAAAGTTTGAAATAGTTTCGATTAAAATGCATACATCTAATCTTGAATGTTTGATACTGAATGGTTTGTGTTCAATAAAGTTTTCTGAGCATGCCAGTCTCTTTGTATTATAACAGAACGGGCGTATATATAAAAATATTTTGTATTACGTAGTGTTGTTGTCGAGCAAGATGATGCGAAAAGGTATAAAACGATTATTTTACGCATTTGATCTCGACATTTCCTTATAACGTGCATGAATCTCGAGTCATACCTTGCACTAAAAATAAAGATTCTCATTACGTTCACAATTCATTCAAAATAATCTGTCACATTTTTAAAAAAAAGAACCTCTTTTATTTGAAAACTCAAAAGTAAAGTATTTTGTCGCATATTTTGAAGAAAACATAATCGCACTTTAAAAGCTAAAACGAGATTCAATTTGAGAGTGAGTAAATTGCTTAAGTTCCTCTGTAAAATCTTCGGTAGAGATATATAGTAGAATTTGTCTCAGATGGTAACCTACTACACTTATACACTTCTTTGTTTATCGAAAGTTAAAAAACACTATGTTCTTAGATAAAACGAGCTTTTAAAGTGAGTGAGAACAAGCATGTACTTCTGTTTCTGAATTCATAAAAAACAAATACACACAAATGTTACACACTCACATACACATACACACACACACATACATTTATATCTTGACGTATGCATGTTAGATAGTTACCTTTCTAGAAAAAAAAGTAGAAATAAAAATACACATTATATTCCTCTCATTTTTTTACTTGGATTTTCCTTTAAAAATATATTTCAGATGGGGTACTGAACGTTCAGCAGAAGCCCCTTATATTCGTCGTCGATCAGGAGCCGGTGTTGAAGCGTACACTTCGACTACTATAACTACAACCCCAACTGTTAGTGTAATATCATCATCATCTGCCAATCCTCCTGTTTTAACAACAAGTGTTTCCGTGCAACCAGCTACACCGACTGTAATCCCTTCAACATCAGCTGTAACACAATCTTCCTCTTCAGCTCTACAAAATGAACAAACATCGTCAGATCCGCTCGCTAGAAGGTAAGAAAATTAAACTAAAATACCTATTTATTATATTTTAGTTTCATAAAGTTTTCTTTCCGTTCCTATGAATTCAAAATTTTTTCTTATACATAGTCTGATAGAAGAAAGCCTTCTCTTCAAAATGAAACGTCTCCCAGAATTTACTTGTGTACAAAATACGTTGTTAAAAAAACGTATTTTGTACACAGGTCACTTCTTTTAGGGCATTTCTGAAAAATTCTGGGAGGCGTCTCATTTTGAAGAGAAGGCTTTCTTCTATCAGACTATGTATAAGAAAAAATTTTGAATTCATAGGAACGGAAAGAAAACTTTATGAAACTAAAATATTGAGTCTTTTCAGGCTCTGAAGGGGAAACTCAAAAAAATTCACTAACTTTCGCAGAAAGCAATAAGAACCCAAATCCTTTTGGGCTTTTTACTAGGACACTATACATTATCTATTGGCAAAAGATCATTGAAATCGGCGTTGGGCACCTGAAGAGGTTCCCTCGTTAACATTGGCGAGGCAATAATGAGGCACTTATGCTCATTTGACAATTAAAAGAAAAGGTTCAACAGGACTTCTCGCTAGTATTACTAACAGTTTATGATTTACAATAGTCGGATGTTGTCTTGCCATCCACTATCACCCACGTATCGAAGTTCTCCGCCAGTTAATCCAAAGCTGGAAAAATTCAAATAGAGGTTTCATTTTTGAACCATCGATGTTTTACAAAAGATTCTCTGTTAAAATAGCCAACTTGACATTGTCCTCTAGCATAGATGTTCTAAGTTTAATTAATGTTAACTTAACTTGATTAGCACTAATCAAAAACAAGTGATTTTTGTGATAGGATTCGAGGCGGAGCTAGTTTCCACTAAAATTTGAGCAGACAACGATAAAGTAGTGATACATTATAACGGCCATACTCCATCAGATACAATCGTGCAATAAACCAACAGTTCATTTGAATAGAACACTCGTAAAACTTTGTACATATGAAATCCTATTCGACTTACTAATTTAAAACTTCCTTAAGCTTAGATTTGAATTTCATCATTTTTACCTTCGTCCCTCTAACTTTCCATTCTTTCTTAGGCATACCGTATATATATGTTGCATGCAAAATTCTTTCGTTCATTGGTGTTTTGTCGAGCTGATATTTGAAAACTGATAGTTTTATTTATAAAAAAATAATTTTGTTAGAAGTTGCTTCTTTTTTAAATTTTTAGGCGTTCAAATGTACCTCCAAGTAAAGATGATGAAGCTGAAGCACAACGAAAACATCGATCTGCTCAAGCAAGACGAGAAAGACGTTCGACACAGGTATAGATTATTACTATTATAAGTTTGTTTATGGTAAACAATTTTTTTTCTCGTTTTGTTCGTAGAGTGTTACTGTTGAAGATATTCGAACGGCTGAACAACAAATTAAAAATCGTGAAGGACTACCAACATCTTCCTCTGACCAACAAAATACTCTCAACCAACAAAAGCAACAACAACAACAACAACCGACTAAACTTGGTCTATCAAATTTGGATAGAACACCAACTGTAGTACATACAAACAGTATTAACGTAGTTGGAAGTCAAGCGGGTGGTAGTAGTGGTAGTGGGGGAGAAGATGTACTCGGACAAAATGTTGAAACAGATAAATTACAACGATTTATTGAAGAAAACAAAGAATCGCAGCGTGGATCAAGAAGAGCAAGCGGAGAAGTAAGTGTTTTGTAATATACGTTTATAAATTCATAAGCATAATTCTTCATCAGTCTTGATTCAAAAATATTGAGATTAAAATAATTCTAAGTATTACACACTTCACGGCTTATTTCCGATGTATTCTCATATTTGTAAGTGCACTGGAATGTTTTCCAAAAGAGAATATGTCAATCGATTCTAAGTTGATTTGTAATCCTTTTCTTTTTGATCCGATACAGGTTTAATATTTATATATTTCCACGAATTATCGTATCCAAAAAAAAGACCATTATTTGTATAAATGCTGCAACTAACTATTCTTTCATGCGCTTATTCGAATAGTGTTCGTCTAATATTTTACTGGATACGATGATTTATTTTAGTATTCAGAATTGTATTAGACCCATTGATATATATATATGTATATAGCACAGGTGATTTAAATCTTAGTTTGACATAGAGAAAAACCTCCAGGCATCATAAATCAATCATTCGTTTATATATTTTTGAGTGTATGTTTACACTTCATGTTAATCCATATGATCTGGAAAAGAAGTGGAAAAAAAGAAAAGATGTGATCAGAACTATCGATAATTTTCTTTTTGTTCTTTATTCACTATAAGAGTTTGAAGCGGAAGTCTTTTTCTCTTATCTAAATGACTGTATATTACTACAAACATATGTCACTTCATTTTATTATCACTAAAACGAAGAAGTCCTTGCATATATATATATATATATATATATATATGTATATATATATGTATATATATATATATGTATATATATATGTATATATATATATATGTATTTTCCTTGACAATAGTCTGTTCTTTATTCGGTAACTCTGATAATTTTCTGTGAGTAATATTTAGTTTAGATCTCATTTTTCGTGATTCTACTTTTGTAAAGAAAGCTTGTTGAATATAAGTTTACTATCTCACTTTGAATGTGTGTTTTTCGTCTATAGACATCTTAATTACTAGAAGACGTGCTCTCTAGATTTATTCAGTTATAATCGTTAAAGTTAACGAAATTGTCATTAAAAAAAACACCAACTTGATCCCATTTTTTTTTGTCTATATTTGATTAATGATGAGACGATTGTGATTTATAATGAATCTGGAACATTCTATTTGTTTATACAAATAAATTACTATAATACTACCAGTGCGTCTGTTTCAATCAAATAACACTCAGCAATATCGTTTTTCTTTGAGTATTCGAAGATCATGCAGAGAATTAAAATAACAAAAGATAATGTTTTCTTTTATTATTTGATCTTATTAGATTTTTTCGCGTTTTTTTTCTATTGATAATTCACGACTAATGCAACCGTAAGTTATCTAGTTTTAGTAGAAAGATAAAACTGGGATAAAAAATTATTCTAATATATAAGAAATTATTTGAAAAATAATAGAAGATCCTTCCTATGCGAGTGTGTTGTACTATTTCAAAATTCTATTCTCAAAAAATTGAGATATTTCTTCTAATTAAAATACTTATTTCAGAAAATGTTTGAAAAAGTGAGTGTATGTGTTGAAAGATTTCTCCTATTTTCTAGTACTGAAAAAAGGGATCATAAGTCTTCTGAAAATGTTGAAAAATCGAGATGAATCGAGAGCAAGTAAGATGTAACATTTTTTTTTTTTGTTTTGCAAACGTTTAACAATTATATAAAGTATTTTAATAGTCAAAAACATTTTTTATATTGCAGCCAATTTATTAATCACCAAAATATGATTTTGTTAAGAATTCTTTTTTTTTTTGTACGGTATGATTATTTGCTTACAGCACATTTATTGACATAATAAATTTTATCGATATTAAAAAGGTTCGATGGGTATTATATAAAGGTGAAATTCACAGTGAGTGGTTAAACATTTAGTATTACTTCGTTGAACGGTAAGATGTGGGAATAATTTTTTTTTTCATCAATTGAATAAAAACTTCATATATCCTTAGTAATTAATATAGTAATAAAAAATTCAAAGAAAATGAGATTTTACTTTATTTCTAGTTCGTCTATCTCATCTAATTCTCTATGAAACATTACATTATTTTTCTTTTATGAAGTTCATGTGCATGTCTTTGTATGTGTGTGTGTGTATATAACCATTTTATAGAAGAATAAAAACAATAACTGTGTTACATCCTCAAAAAATGAGGGTGAAATAACTCATAATATGTAATACAGTTTTATTAATAGTTTTTGTTGTTCTCACAAAAAACAAAAATGACAACAAAAATTGTTGCTGCTTGTTACCTAAAAATTATTATTGTAATTAATTCCTAAAAAAATTCATTTACTATAAATTGTTTCTTTTAGTTTTTAGGCGCATAATTGTCTCATATCATAGTTTTGATTGACAGTTACACATAGATCCCATGGGATATGAGACAAAGAGAGAGAGAAAAAATATTTAATAATCGTTGCGTTGCGTATCGTAATATATTCTCTTGCAAAAATAAAAGAAGAAAAGACAAAAACTAAGTACACATACTGTACTATGATTTAATCATTCTCTTTTCATCAACTATATCTAGTGTGATAAAAACATATTTTAAATATACAATTAAACATAGAAATATGAAAATAATTTGAAATTTTTAATCTCATATTTTAGGACGAAACTCGTTTGCCATTTGACAATTCAACAGATAATTCAAGAAGATTTCGATCAAGATTTGCTACTGAAGGTATATATATTTATTATTTTCAAATATTATTAATTTAAATTTCTTATAAAAAGATAATTATATTGTCTTAAAATTTTCATTGAAACTTTGTGTTCACTATGAATTTAGTTTTCTCATTTGTTTTTAGAACAACCAACTTCAACTTCGATTCAAGCAAACGATTCATTTAATTTAAATCAATCTGAACTTGTTCCGAATCGTCGCCGACATAGGGTAAATTGTAAACCAACAGGAAAAATAGTCTGGAACGAAGTATGTCGTTTTACAGTTCTAGATTAGTCTAAATAATAGTAGAAATAGTCGAATAAAAAATAAATAAATATATATATAGATATAATTTACTTTATTTTTCTTTGTAGGAAACAAAAGAAGTTGAAATTCGAGATGATGCAGATTATGTACCAAAAGTATCCATATTAGATTCATCTCACAGATCTGACGATCAAAAATTACAAGATAACGCGCAACAGGTAAAAGAAATCAAAATTCTTTTCGTATTATTTGAACTCAAATTAGAGAGTCTTTCATTGAACTATGAATAATTTCATTTATGGACACTCGTCGCACAGCTTGTATATAATTAAAATTACATTCTGCGCTGAACAAGTGATTCCTAGAGTATAATTGACATCATTTGCCGCTCTTCAAATGTATAGCAATAGATTGTTCTATATTGCTGTTGATTGAGCATTGATACACATCATTTTCTGATATGTCTAAATCTATCGAGTTTTTCTTTTATTTAAATAGAAGAAGTTTACTTTAAAAAAAATTCTAATATTTTGTATAATTAATTTATCACCATTATGTTCGATTTGATTTTAGAACGCCAGTCAATCTCCAGGAGTATTAGGCTCTCGTGGTTTAATTTCTCGTTTCGAAAATTCACCTTCAACAGCTGCACCCCTAACAACTTCACCTCCATTAACTCAACCACAAACATTATCATCATCATCATCATCAAATCAATCCTTTAGAAATAATCGTAGTCAAAGTCAAGATCCATCAAGAAAACCCGTTTCATCTGTTAGTAGCAGCAATCAACAAATTCAAAATACAAATGAAACACGTACAAATGCAATGAACGGCATGGCATCACCGTTTAGTGTAAGAAAACAAACACCACAAGAGACATCTACACAACCGTTGAAAGAGAATACGACAAATGCACAGTCAGACACATCAGGCGTTAAAAGGGTATGAACGAAAATTTATTTGTAGATTACGAAAATTAATCGATTTGTTTTTATTATAAAAGTTTGATTTAAATTAACATTACAATGGAAATTTAATCAAAGTTCCTACTTTTATCACTTTTAGTCTATAGACAAAAAAACATATCTAAAATCTGTTCATATTTTGTTTATTTTTCTCTTGTTTTAGTTGTATGAAGATGCCAAACGTAAAATTGATGAGTTACAACAAAAACTTGAGCGTATGGAGCGTGATATACTTGACCGAGATCAAATGATTGAAAAATTAAAAACATCACAGTATATTGAGTCATCCATGGATAAAAGAGTATGGAAAATGGCTACTATCAATACGAGCTATAATATAGCTGGTTTGTTGTTTTTTATTCTAGGAAAAACGTGCTTATGAAAGAAAAATATCAGAATTAGAAGAAGAATTGAAAGTAAGATACTTAACTTCTACAGATAGGTTGCGTGATCATTGAAATAATCTAAAGTTACTTTACGTCAATGATTATGACTGTCAGATTGAGAGATACACTAGTTATAATATTTCTCTAATTACTGACGTTTTAGAATATCTAATGCTTGAGTTGAGTGACATTACTTCTAAACATACAGGGGGGTCGTATCACGAAAAAACTTAAGTCTAAGTTTAAGACCGACTTAAGTCCGGGGACTTGAACCGTATCACGAAAAGACTTACCTTGCTGATTTGTTTACTTTTTAAAGTTTTTGACAACAGTGATAAACTTGAGACAAAAACGCGCAAAATAACGAAATATTTGTTCTCTAATCCTTAGAATGTCGTTTCGTCGACTCGTATCGTTAAATGCCTGAGCTATTCGAAAAATGCGTCAATGACTTAAGTTTTCGGCCTTAACTTTAAGACTACATGTCCCATGACTTAAGTCGCTCTTTGACTTAAGTTTTTGTGTAATACGGTAAAACTTAAGTCCAAAGACTTAAGTTAGTGACAGAGACTTAAGTCTAAATTTTGACTTAAGTTTTTGTGTGATACGGCCCTCAGATCTAAAGTTATTGAAACTATATACTTTAATTGATATGAATAAGAGAAGAATGGGTGCTATTTCAGATCAACTATATAACGGACATATATTGTTATTGTTTTTTTTAGAAAATGGATTCAATTAAAGCTGATAATACCCGTTTAAAAGAAGAAAATGCGGCTTTGATACGTGTTATTAGCAAATTATCGAAATGAAAAAAACGTTTCTAAGACAAAAAAACTATTATGTTTGACATCACTATATGTTGCGTATGTGCTGTTTTTCTCACCATTTATTTCTTTAAAAAAGAGAATTTTTTTCTGTTTTCTTTTTACGCTTGTTTCGTTTATACTTATTGTTTTCTCTCTCTTTCTTTCTCTCAAACTTATCACAATTGCAAATAGACAGTATCAAAATTATTATTATCATTATTATTATCATTATTATTATTATTATTATATTATTTATTATTATTATTATTACTATTATTATTTTTGAGTGTGCGCTCTCTGTACTTTTGAAAATCCTCATGTTTTTCTCATTTTAATTTAGAAAGGTAGATCAACTTTTGTTGTTTGTTTTTTTTGTGCAATAGAAAGAGAGAGAGGATGTGTAGAAACAAATATATAAGAGACAGTACACTACTTCTTTCTTTTTATATCACTCTTATTATGCAATATAGTCATTTTTTTGTTGTGTTTATTCTCTTTCGTTGAATTTGTCAAGGAAAAATCTCATTTTTTTTTCTTCTCCTTCGTAAACACATAGTCGAATTTTTTTTTTGTGCGTGTTTGTCTAGTGTCTGTCTATATCCTTCTTATTTTGCTCAAGCTATTGTTGAACTATGATTGGTGGTGCTATTGATGTATCAGTTGTGCACACATGCTTTCTCTCTGTCTCTCATATATAGTGTAAACAGTGAACAAAACAAACTGCTATCTTTCCTTGCCCGTCTGCGCTATTGTTTGTTTGTTTATGTTTTGTTTAAATGAATTAAACACATTTGTTCTTTTTCTTTTTTTTATTCTACTGCTACTACATTTTTTTTTCATGGAATGTAATTGAGATTTTCTACATGTTCTTTTTTTTTTTCTTCTACATAGACATATATATTTCTTTCTCGATGCGATTCATTTTTTTTTTCATATACACTCTATTCTCTATATAAACGTATGAAAACGATGAAGCCTTCTTTGGATGTGTTTTTCATCTATCACTTTTTTTTATACGCAAGAATAGATGAGGCACACGCAGAGAATGAAATCATTCTTAAACTGGTTGGATTATGAAGTCAATTCAGCAGTTATTTATTTTGTAGACTATAACTATTCTACTCACTCTATAAATATACAAAACGTTGTATATTTTAATTCATCTCATCAGCAAGGAAAAATTAGGAAATATTATGCATAGAAAGAAATTTGTATTTTATTTTCCAAAATCTAAAGAAATATTAACTTATTAAATGTGTGTATACAAAAGATAGTACTAAAACCAACGTTCGAAATAGAGATGTGCAAGGTAACTGTTGACGGAGCCTTTGCCCTATCCTGTGAAAAGTTTTTGAGCCCTGGCCCTACCCTATCCTGTAGCAATGCAGTCCTGGCCCTACCACACCTTACCCTTTGAAAATTTGAGAATTTTTCATTTACACTTATTTCTTTATTTTTTTAAATAAATGAATCATATTGATAAAAGTTCTTTTTTAAAATTTGGTAGCAACAAAATGTCAGCGACCGTTTCTTCGTCCAGCCTTTTATTGTTTTATTTTTATTTTGCCAATTGCACTAAAAATGGGTGTCTTGCATCCGATAAAATAAAGAGTTTAAAATAACTGTCGCTGGCGACCGACCTCAATGTTGTACCAACGATATATCTTTTTTAGACGAAGCCCTGGTCCTAGGTAGGGTTTTCTGAGCGACCTGGGTTAGGGTAGGGTAGGGCGCTCTGCACATCTCTAGTTCGAAACTATCGTATCTTATTTTTACGGTAAAAATTCAAATTAAATTGATCGGAAATTTATTTTTCTAATTAAACGAAACATTTCTACCTAACTCCAAATGGTATCAATTAAACAGAAAATTTACTTGTGAATAATTTGACTTGTAAAAACTTTCTGAGAAAGTCACGTGAACTTTGAAGTATAAGGACAATTGTAATAATGGAAGACTTAGTGTTTTCTAACTTCAAGTTTGTATCCCTCTATGGTCATGTCCTTATGGGTATTGTCAATTGCTGCTGATTTCGAAGATCATCTCATTTTTTATTGGAAACTTTCCTGAGCCAAATAAAACGCTTTTTGTCTATAGAGCCAGGAAGGCTGAAGACGTTTTTGATTATAACTTGGTAAGGTAGGATAAAATTTCTTTGTTTTGTATAGCACTGTGTTTATAAGCCAATTTCCAACTCAGTATTTTCCTATTGAATTGAATTGAATGTATTTTGATTAAATATGTTATATAGTCAGGAAACAGTAAACAAAACAAAAACAAAAAGTTTCGCGTACATAAGAGACACTGTTACGGATAGAAAGAGAGAAAAAAAATAATGAAACGAGAGAAATTTACGTCATATAGTGGTTTCAACTTCAGCTTTGAGGGTTTTGAAAGTAGAAGCCCATCTTTTACAATATATTTTCTCCTATTTCATTCCAGAAAAGACATACTTTCGATTCTCGGCCAAATGTCCACCTCAATGCATACTGCATCGAGGTAGCTGAAAAGAAAAAAAGTAGACTTTAACGTTTCTAATTTTTTCGATCGTTCGAACACTCTTCCTTCAGATGTTATTGATTTTCCTCATATATGAACTTTCGCTATGGGTTTTTGAGACTTATAGATCAGAGCCCGAAACGAATCAGGTTTTCCTCATTCGATTCGGGACAACTGTTTTGAATCCTAAATTGGTTCGATTCGATTCAACATTTCTGAAATCATACTCGGTTCGATTCGTTTCGGACTCTGTTAGAGATCACCTACTTTAGAGTTCTAGAAAACTGATAGTAATAGTAATATATCTAGTAATATATTTTCCATTTACCAGAGGGGTAGATAAATGTTTCGAGGGGGGCTGCCATCTGAAATGCTATTTTTTTGCCAAATCAAGTATTAATTCCGACATGACAAACTGAAAAATCGATGGGGCGTCTTCCATTCGGACCGCCCACGAAATAATAATAGGTGCTGCAAAGTAGTTATAACGATGACTATGTTTTTATCATGATATATACTTTCTCGCACACAAATGATGCGAAAGTTCGAGACGGTACAAATACCTTAAATAACTAAGAATACGGTTAATAATCGATTTGCTAACTGAAGTATAAACTAAGGCAAATGAAGATGCAGTAAATCGTGTAAAAAAAAGTGATTTATTTATGAAATTAATTTGTTTTTATTCTTTTATATAAGCATTGATGAAAATTAAAATATTTTATAGTTAAGTATACTTAACTGTAAATTATATTCCTATATATGAGAATATAATTTTGATTGTATTAATTACCCATGTCCGAAGTCTAATGAAATGTATTTTGGATTTAATAAGAGATGATTACTAATTGTAGTATTTCTAACATCGTTAAATAATGAAATGTACACGGTTTTATTTTTATCTGGAAATAATGTATACCACAAGAAATTGTAGCATTCAAAGTCGGCCGTAATGCATGAACCGAATATACTTTTACAAATGGCGACGGACAAGGTTTGAATGTACCATCTATAAATATATATTAGAAATGCATAACATTTCTAATCAACCAGTTGTTCCATAACGTGGACTTTTATGATCTCTTAATACAATTTATTCGTTGTTGAATGTTAATCGTCATTTTCCTATAAATTAAGGATTTGATTAGTTCAAGTTTACGAGCTTTGTTCCTGATTAGAAGTAGATTCTTATTAATCTCGCAGTATAATATTTGCATCGTCAATTAGGAATTTATATTTTATTGTATATGTTTTAATGTCTCGACGAGTTCAGAGCATTCGTCAATGGAGAGACAGACTAGGATAGAACAGAATGAGAGATTTAGTTGAGAGTAAGCGTACTTGTTGTAATAAGGATTAGAAATTAGAAATTATTTCATAGGAGTTAGTCCTGTAAGACTGTTACATAACAACTGACAAAAAACAGTTGTTCAATATCCTCCAGAACATTTAAACTTTTAACGTTTAATTCGTAACACTGTTCTTCTCTCACAAGTCGCCGTGATTGAAAACGATATGACAACATCTAAATGAAATTCGATTAAATCGCTTTTTTCATAAATAATGTTTGCCTTCGATTTACTCGATTTCTTGACGCTAAGTCACAATGATCGTCTTTTTTACAAGTAGTTAATGAACACAGGCAGATATCTGCAATATAGCGCATCTAGGTACAGTTGATTTCTCAACTCACGTCGTTCGTTTCGAAGTCCGTCGTCAACTGTTGAGTACCGTGGTGACAGTTTCCTATCTTTAATTTCATAGATGTAACCAGTACCGACAATTGGCCGGTCCGGTCAAAAAATCTTTAACTAATTACATATCTGCTAAATTTTATTCTTCTGAAAACATGTCAGTCTTCCTTTCCCACTGTCAGGATTCCATAAAGCAGTAAAAATCCTAACGTTTTCTGGAGGTATCCTGAAGATTCTCAGGAGGGAACGTTCCCAACTGTCAAATCGCTTTCGGGTTGAAACCTAGTGGACTACAGGTAGTCGACCATGCAGATTCCGAATATCAACATGAGACGGGGTGCTAGGCCTCCAGAGATTGGTTTCTAGAAAACCAGTTTTCCAGAAACTTCAAAAAGTCTCCAAACTTTTCTTAATAAATAAGTCATATTTGTAGCGCGCGAAATTCTGATTAAAATGAGACATCTCCCAGCTCTATACGACCTTTCTTTACAAAGTTATAGACTTTACAAGAAAAGCCCTAAATTCCTTTTTTCTTTTTCTTTCTGTATCTCTGAGCTGACAATAAACATTTACGGATTGCTTCTGGCCCATAAGTTCGAGCTAGCGAGACTGTTTCTCTGTACAGTTAGTCTATTTTTGAATTCTTCGTGTGGATAGATAGACAAACATTTTATGCTTTATGATGCTGACCAACGTCAGGAGTATTAACGAAATAAGGATTATTTATAAAGAAGTGAAAAAGGAGGTAAAGTCAAACGGCCATCAATCTCGATCGATTTCAGTTAAATGCATTAGAAGTACACAAGAAAT